GACCTTTTTCCTAGACAGCTAGCTGCAGCTCTCTGTCTCCTGGCCCCTGTAATTGGGCTGCTTGTTTAGTTTAGATGCTTCCAGTACTAAGCCCCAGTTCTCAAGAACATCTCTCTGTGACTGGAAACAGATGGAGACACTCAGAACTCAGAGGGTGGGCTTATTCCATCGGCCCACACTCTTGTTCTTACCCCATTCTTCTGACGCAACAGCTGGGACTTGGAGAGGTTGCTGCTTATCTCCTTAGATAATAACTTGTTAGTCCGACGGAAAACCAAGTCTGTCCAATGCAAGCCAGGAGTCCCATGTCCAGTGGGTCCCTCCTGGCTTCAGCAAGCTAAGATGTGGACAGAAGCTAAGGAATGCCAGAGGGAGGAGTGCTCATGAAGGCTTCAGGGAGGGGGTAGTTTACCAAGCATAGGCAGGAAGACAGATTTAAAAAGGTAGAGGGAACCTGGAACCTGGAGAATCCCTCAAGCAAGTGACCAGGTATAGGCTAGCAGAGGGGTGTACAGCCTTTATGGTGGGCTTTTCAGACCAGGGTTGGTGGCTCCTATGTGTTACTCCATCATAAGGGAGCTGAGGCTGGTGATCACCATGAGTTCAAAGTGATTCCTCCACCTCCAAAAAAAAAAAAAAGAACCTTCTTCTGGCCTTGGAAGGCACCAGGCACACAGGCAAACATACAGGCAGACAAAACCCTCATACACATAAAATAATAAAATAATAATAATAAAAAAAAGAACAAAGGGGCTGGAGAGATGGTCATTGGTTAAGAGCACTTGCTGCTATTGCAAAGGACCTTCAATTCCCAACACCCATGTCAGGCATCTCATGGCAACCTGTACCTCCAAGGCAAGCATGTGTGTGTACACACACACATACACACACACACACACACACACACACACACACACACACACACACACGTCATAAAAAGAAGGAGGGAAGGGAGTGGTGGGGGAATCCACAGCCAGAGCAGTAGCTGCCCAGTTGCCATAGGACCAGCAGATTCCCAGCTTTGTGAGATTATCACATTACAGAAGATCATCCATCTGCTACCTCTACACCGGCCCCTACCCTACCTCTGCAGCAGCATGGGTATCCATGTTCCCTCCTGACCTCCCCAGGAGCCAACAGCAGCAGTGTGGAGGTCTTCAGCAAGTATTTCTATGATGTCTGTGAACTGGGCCTAGGGTTCAGCTTTCATGGTTTCCCTTGCCATGGGTGAGCTGTTCCTTGGGACCACATAACTGAGATAGCCTGCTTGCCCTGGGGTAAAGCCAGCCCATCCCAACAGACCTGGGACAAGACTGCACTCCACTGCCTCTGGACCCCAGCTGTGGGCAGAGCCTGCCTTTTATATCCTGAGTAATTGTGCCATTGTCAAATGATGCTGTCATCGTGTGTGGTAGCGCCCCAATAAATGTATATTCCACAAAATAGAAAGGCCCATTAGTCAGTAAGAAAAAAAAAATCACTCATTGAAAAGTGAGCAGCCTGCATAAACAAGCTATCCACCAGAGAAGAAAATCCTCATGACACTGCATGTTTAAAAGGACCATCAGTGGAGTTAGGGCCAGAGGTTCCGGTCTGTGGGCTGAAGTGAGACAGGCCTATCTATGGTTGCAATCCTAGTTCTGCCCTTCCAGATTAGAGTCTTGGGCAAATAGCATAATGCTTCTAGACTTCAGTTTCCTCATCTGAAAAATGGAGATGGATGACCTGTCTCCTGTGATGGAGAAGACAAGATGGGGTAATTTAAGTGCCGCATAGCAGGTGGTGAAAGTAAGCGCTCAGAAAATGGTAACATTGAAGTAGTGGGAGGAATAGTAAAACCATCACCATGTCACATGAACCAGACTTGCAGATGTTGCAAAGCCTGGGGATTTCAAGGGCTGAGGAAAGGGTCTCTTACATACTGTTTGCCCAGTGCAGACTGGCACGGCACCTTGAAGAGCAGCTTGACAGTGCTCAAGATGCCATAGCTGCCTACAGTGGGACTCCAGGAGCATGTGTATATGAATATATACTGAAATGATGTGTAGGGCTCCGGCTGCCCTTCCGTCAAGGGTTCCTGGGCCAGCAGAGCCCTGGAGAGATGTGATTTTTCCAGCCTAACATGACCAAACCTGCACTGAAGGAGTCCAAAGGAAGAAACATTGAACAACATGAGGAGTGTCCCTCTAAAGGAACACCAAAGCCCCACCCCAGGAAGCTGTGGCTGTGGCTCGAAGGTATGGATGGTTCGCGGTGCGTGGGAGGACCTGGGAGACCATGGGCGCCTCCAGGCTCTACACGCTGGTGCTGGTGCTGGTGCTGCAGCGAGTTCTGCTGGGCATGAAGAAGAGGGGCTTTGGTGCTGGCCACTGGATGGCTTTGGGGGCAAAGAGAGACCATTGAGGACAGAGCTAAGAGGGAGCTGCAGGAAGTGAGGGGCCTGACAGTAGATGCACTGCACAAGGTGGGCCACATCTCATTTGAGTTTGTGGGTTCCGAGGAGCTGATGGATGTGCATATCTTCTCTCCTGACCATGTGCGTGGGATGCCCACAGAGAGTGACGAAATGTGCCCTCAGTGGTTCCAACTGGACCAGATTCCCTTTGCAGACATGTGGCCTGATGACAGCTACTGGTTCCCACTCCTGCTTCAGAAGAAGTAGTTCTGTGGGTACTTCAAGTTCCAGGATCAGGACACCATCCTTGACTACTCGCTTCGTGAGGTGAATGAACTCTAATACAGAGGTCTGGTGGGTTCCAGCCACACTCAGGTTGCTACACAGCCACAAGGTGTTAGTCCAAGCCTACCACAGGAGGGGCTGGCATTTTCTGTTTGCAGAGTGTTGGGGTTGGAAATGTGAAATGTCACTGATACATTCACATGAAGATGATTGCTTCATCTCCTGTTTTGGAAGGTTGTGGCCCCTTAGGAACAATGAGGGAACTGAGTCAGTCACTGGGAGTCAGAGAGATGTGGGATGGGCCCTAAGGTTTTATAATTAGGTCCCACTTTCTGTCTGCTCTCTGCTTCCTCATGATGTGGCCAGCCGTGTCAGTCTTACCACTGTGCCTTATCTACCATGATGGACTGTATCCCCTCGATTGATCCATGAGCCAGAATAAACCTTTGCTCCCCTAAAAGAAAAAAAAAAAAAAGGAAAACAAAAGCCCACAGTACTTTGGAGGCTGAGGCAGGAGGATTACCATGAATTTGAAACCATCCTGGACTATACTAAAAAAAAAAAAAAAAAAAAAAAAAAAAAAAAAAAAAAAAAAAAGTAAATAAATAAGTAAATATAAAGGGACACTGAAGAATCAGGAGTCCATGGAAGCTAGAGACTAAAGGGCATGTGTTGGTCCAGGAATGTACTCTATTCTCCACTGTGACAGCCATAGCAGACATTACTAATCAATCATAGAAACTGACCTCAACATCCTTCTAAAATGTTCCACTTGGCCTCTGCTAGTTGACTCTAGTTGGCAGGGAAAAAAATAAATGAATCTAGGTGAGTATCTTTTGTTTATCTCCATCCCCTTCAGCCTTTTCCTTGTCATAGCTTATCAGCCTGGCTTACAGCTGCCATTGGCCTCCCTTTACCTACCACAGGCCAGTGGAACTAGGGATAGACAATTGGCAATAGCTTCAGTCAGTGGCTGGCAGAATGGGGTAAGTGCCCTATTCCCTCAGGTGAGTGAGCCTTAGAGATGCATTGTCACTAGTGTCCCTGAATGCCTCACAGAATCCAGATGTTGGCCCCATGACAGTGGGCGGGGCCTTCCCTTTGATCTCACTTGCCCACTTTACACCAGCATGGTCAGGATCCTTCCCATCGAAACCAGTGAAGCCCACTCTCCTCTGTTCTTGTCAGAGGGCCCGACTCTGAGGAAGCTACACTCCAGCACCTCCCTGCATTTTCATGGGTGTGAAGGGAAGGGATTTCCCAAGCCATTGGCAAGGCCCTTGTGAGAACCCATGCCTAGCTCCCCCAGTCCACTGGCGCCCTCCGGCTTTGGCATTTATTTTCCACTGCAAGAGAAACAGCCCAGCAGTGGAATCCCTGATGGGAACTCCTGGACACCTGGAGGTGGGTAGCACCCTTTGGGTGGACCTCAGAGCCGTCCCTTCTGCTTCCAGGGTCTCAGTCTCCTCTGTGGACTAGATTGCTAAGGGATATGCCCCTTGCTGGGATGGGAGATAGTCTGGAAAACAGCTAGCTCCCACCCAGGCACAAGCATCCAAAAAGTTAAAAATGCATTTCTCCGTGCTTTTAGCAATCCATGAATCCATTTACATTTTAGCTTTAGTAGGAAATGAATACGTTTTCTCTTTTTTATTGATTAATGTATGCATGTGTGTGCTGGGTGAGTGTGCTTAGCACATGTGTGGAGGTCAGGACAAGTTTGTGGGGTCGTTTCTCTCCTTGTACCCTCACATTCATTCTGGAACTTGAACTAAGTCGTCAGGTGTGCACGGCAAGCACCTTTACCCACCAAGCCATCCTGCTGGCCCTCAGAAATGCACATTCCAATCTAGACCACCTACATATTGAACAGATCATCGGTGAGAAAAGGAGCTTTGCCTTCTGGCCCCTGAACCAAGACTCGTGACTCTTCTGCCTGTGGCTTCCTACAGCCCGGGCCTTGCACTCCTGCAGTCTGTTGATACATACAGAGGTGAAAAATGGGCTAGGCCTGGCTCATGTCTCCCATTCACAGTGACTTGAGGCACAAGGCACTTTCTCCCTTTCAGAAACACCAGCTTGCCATCTGTGGAAAGGAATGAGGATTCCAACCCCAGGTTGTCACTGTTCAACTGAAACCTAGGGAAAGGCTTGGTAGGAGAAGCCTGCTCTTTCCTTTGCCAACAGGAGGCAGCCTGGGATGGGAGTGTCACAGGGGAGGGAACAGTCTTGGCATAGTCTTTTGCTGTTCCTCCCTCCCCCAGGCTGCCCTTGGTGACAAGACAACTCTACCCCAGTTCCTGGACATAAGTTGGGAGCCATGAACAAGATCTTCCCCCAGGTAAAAGCTGCCTGAGCCTGAACTGGTTCCTGACATAGGGAGCAGCCTTGGGTGGAAAGGGCTCTGGGGAGCGGGTACCCTAGCACCTATGGCTACATTCATCTGCCCTGGGGACTCACTCCAAGTGAGAGCCAAAAGTGCTAATAGGCAGACAGAAGCCCAGGGCATTAGGGCATTGTCACTAGGAGGACCTGCCTGGGTCAATGGAAGGACAAAGGAGTAGGTAGTGGGAAGAAGCCAGCCACTGTACAGGTGAAGAGTGGGAACATGGAGCAGGCAGGATAAGTCTGGACTGTGAGGGACCAGGGGTTTGCCCACTCTGCTTCTGGTCTCTTGGGCAGGGAGATGCCGAGAGCAACACTGCTGCCGGAGGGAAAGCCCGCCCTGGAGAGGAAGGTAAGAACAGAGGTGGCCATCAGGCTGAGTGCTGTCTGTGGGTCTGACCCCAGGAACTACCCTGAAGCTGGGCACAGAAAGAGTTCAAGGCCACTGCTATGGCCCCTCTGTCCCAGTGCAGATGGTGACTTGTCTGCCCCCAGCTTCCTGCCCAGCCATACCGACAGTCACTTGCTGGGCAGAACTGTTCATTCTCTCCAGCTACCAGCATCTTCTGAGCGGCCACTAAGTGCCTTTTACCCTCTAGGCCACCACACTGAACCTGTAACACCAAGGACCTCCGAATCAACTTCTAGACCCCATGCTTGATCTGGGTGGTTCTGTTGATGTTAGGATAGAGTAAGTTAGGACCGCACACGTGTACCTATTATGTTTCCTCCACCCCTGTGTGGCCAGGACCTTCGTGAGATATGGTAGGAGTACATACATACTGAATGTCTCCCTGGGCCCCATCTTGGCCCCCAGCTGAGCGAGGAGGAAAGGGGTAGATGCCAAGAGTGGCTATGAAGGATCTGCCCTCAGATCCTGGAATTGCAGACCTTAGTTTCAGGACAGCCCTGGGTGAGTTGGGTACTAGTGGCAGCCAAAGCTAAAAAGTTAGGTAATTAGGTCAAGGTAATTCAGAAAAGGAGGCTGCTAAGCCTCAGGGCCATTGTTGCTCCATGCCTGTGGCTATTTCCAAGTTGTTATTTGGTGTGGGTGGAAGTAGGTGTGGCTTTTCTTCCTTTGTCCCTGGTGGGCAGCAGCTAAGGAGTTTCTGGCTTTAAAGTGGGCATCTCCACCTGGGCAAGAGCTCTGCCTGCTGCCCCAGTCTTGCCTGCAACCCCGCCTTGCACACAACTGCATAAATATTTGAGGAGCAGCCACTTGGCTGGCCAGAAGTGTCTCCTGCCCAGCTTCAACACAGTCTCCCTGGTGACCCAAGTTTACCCTGTCCTTGCTGACCAGAAAGGAACTACCAACTAGGGCTGGGGGATTATAGGATTTAGATGAACAGTGTGCTTCCTGTCAGCCTGCTGTTGTCTCCTCTTTGGGCCCACACCCTCATGCCTTCATCTTCATAGCCACCCATCAGGCCTCTCCTCCCACACCTTCTGCCTGGAAAGCCTGCTCTTTGAGGCCTCTGCCCTGCCCTGCCTTATAAATGAGCTGGTTCTCCTGAGGCCACTGCATCGCCTGAAGCTCCTCAGGGCCCTGTTCACACTTCCTCAGTCACCCTTTCATTTGACACTGCGGGTTCACGTCTTGTGGCAGGTGACCCAAATCAGGGTCCTTCCCTTGTCTTCTGTGTCTCTGGTTTGCACACATACACACAGCACCAGTGAGAGCTGTGTCCTTGCCTGACCAGGGGCCACAGGGATGAATCAAACCTGCCCCCGCGCTTCTGTGGCCTAGCACACGGGACCGAGTCTCCACCCTCCTTCCTGTGGTGTCTGGCTCTTCAAGTGTAGCTGCGAGCTCTGTGAGGGCAAGGAAAGCCACTTTTGTGCCTTCTACAGAGCTGCTTTAGGGGAGTGAAGCCAGGCATAGTGGTGCACGTCATTAATTCCAGCACTTGAGAGGTGAAGGCAGACAGATACCTGAGTTCGAGGCAAGCCTGGTTTACATAGTGAGTTCCAGGACAGCCAGAGCCATATAGTGAGACTCTGTCTTGAAAACAAAACAAAAAGGAATTGGGGAAGCCAAAACAATTCTAGAGTATGGGGGCATCTGCAAGTTACTCCCATTACTGCTGTTTCTACAATGCCTAGACAAGGGCTTGACACATGGTAGATGCACAGCAAATACTTAGCTCACAATAACACCTGCTGTTTTAAACATTCAACAAACCAGCCCCCAGCAAACCACGATAGCCATCATGGTACCATTGAGGCACAGAGAAGTGAAGTGTCTCACTGTGTGGCCCAGCTAGGAACTGATGGAGCTGGACTCCAGGCAGCATTCTGGAGGGCACTAAAACAGATTTTAGACTGGCATTGAGGATAAGGTCTGGGTTTGGGCATCAAACAGGTGTCATGCCTCAGCCCAGTGCAGGGTGACTGGAACATTTGTTTCTTTGACTCCCAGTTTGTCATCCACAGAGATAAAGGACTTTTGTGAAAAATAGGAATCATGGCTGTGATGAACCTGTGGTCCTTTCAGGCAGGGTACATACCCTCCTGGTCATGAGGATAGACCAGGAAGGACAGGAAGGGGAGACAGCCTCAGTGGGGCAGAGGCTACCTAGCGATGGCATTTGGTGATGGTGGAGCACAGGCAGGACCAGAGAGTGTCACGGGGGCCGGGGCAGGGGGGGGGAGCTTAGGAGTGCTCCCTGAGAAGGGAGAGCTGCCTGCAGGGCTGGGTGGGATCCAGGGGATCCCTGCACCTCTCATTATCTTCCCTTCCACAGGCTGTGGCCCCTTCTGCTGCTCACGCAGAGGGGCCTGCCTCTCGGCCTTCCTGATGCTAGTGCTGGCCATGCTTGCCACCTTGCTTGCCGTGGCCACCATCCTCGGACGTCCACCCCGCATACCAGGTCAGGGTGGCAAGAGGGAGGCGTGGTGGCTCAGGGAGATGGGAGCCCTAGCGTTGCCTGGCTTCTCTCTGAAGTGGCTTGAGTGGTTCCTCATGGTACAAACACAGACACCTGTGCATGTATGGACACAAGTCTGAAGAGGCCTTTTACACATCCTTGACATGCGTCATTTTACATTTTTCTTTTAGTTTTAAGGTTTATTTTTATGTATACGGGTGTTCTGCCTGCATATATCTCTAGACCACAAGTGTACCTGGTGGCCAGGGAGGACAGAAGATGACGTCAGACACCTGGCACTGTAGCTGCAGATGGTTGTGAGCCTCCATGTGGTTGCTGGGAATTGAACCCAAGTCCTCTGGAAGAGCAACAAGTGCTCTTAACCACGGAGCCAGCCCCAACATGCACTCCCGAGAGGTCGTGTTTTTGCTGTTACTTCCTCTAAGAAACTCTCTCTGTCCCCTGAGCTGGGCTAGGAGCTTCCTCAGCCCCCACAACCAGCGAGTGCACTCCCTATTCCCTACCCTGACCACCTGGACAGACCAGGCTGTGTTCACAACTTCCCTGTGGTCTGACTGCAGTGATGAACCCCCCAATGCAAGTGGTGAAACCCCCCCAAGGCCTAACGGGGGTCAGGAGTCTGGAACCAAGGCCCTCATCCGATCAGTGTGGAGGGAGGGAGGGAGCACTATGGGGAGTGAAAGAGACCCAAGATGGGAAGAGAAAGTGGAGATTGTCAGGAACAGCATCCCAGGCACAGGGAACAGTGCGTGTGGAGACCCTGTGATGGGACACGTGAGAAGGAAAGATGGCAAGAAGCCAGGTGGATGTGAGTGGGTGGGGTCAGGCGCCCAGGACCTTAAAAGCTGCACTTGGGAGGGTGGCCATGTTCCAAGAGGATTGTCCCATACTTCTTCCTTGCTTTTTGAGAGATGGCTCCATGGCCAGGCGGGGCCACTGCAAGGGATGAGGAGGAAGTGTGAAACCACAGCATTCCACCCTGACAGTGTAGAAGCGTGAACTGGAGCCATGGACCTGTATATGCAAGCGTGTGTGCATGCATGTGTGCACATGTGTGTCAGTGCTTGTGCATGCAGATGCCTGCCTGTGTGCATGTGTGTGAGTGTCTGTATGTGTGCAGGTGCCTGGCTGTGTGCATGTATGTGTGAGTGTCTGTATGTGTGCAGGTGCCTGCCTGTGTGCATGTGTGTGTGAATGTCTGTATGTGTGCAGGTGCCTGCCTGCCTGCCTGTGTGCATGTGTGTGTGAATGTCTGTATGTGTGCAGGTGCCTGCCTATGTGCGTGTGTGTGTCTGTATGCATGCAAATGCCTGCTGCTTGTGTTCACATGTGTGTGTGTGTGTGTGTATGCCCATATGTTGTTGGGGTTTATTTTGTTTTTGGCTTTTTGTGTTTTTTTTCTTTTTTTTTCCTCTTTGGGGGCCTGCCACCCAACTCCCAAATAAATACATGGAGAATTATTCTTAGTTATGAATGCCTAGCCGTAGCTTGACTTGTTTCCAGCCAGTTTTTCCTAACTTAAATTACCCCATCTACCTTTTGCCTCTGGGCTTTCACGTTTCTCTATTCTCTATTCCTTTCTTTAATTCTTACTCTGTAGCTGGTATCCTCTCTCCTCCTTTTCTTGATCCCCTTCTGCCTTCTCCTCCTATTTATTCTCTCTGTCTGCCAGCCTCACCTATTTCTCTCTCTCCTGCCTCGCTATTGACCGTTCAGCTCTTTTTTAGACCAATCAGGTGTTTTAGACAGGCAAAGTTACACAGCTTCACAGAGTTAAACAAATGCAACATAAAAGAATGCAACACATCTTTGCATGATTAAACAAATGTTCCACAGCATAAAAAAAAAAGTAACACATCTTCAATATTCCACAGCACCCATATGTATGCAGGTTCCTGCCTGCCTGTGCCCACATTAGTGTGCATGCCAGTGTGTCTGTGTCCATGTGTCCGTGTCCGTGTCCGTGTCCGTGTGTGTGTGTGTGTGTGTGTGTGTGTGTGTGCATGTGTCCATGTGTGTGTACATGTCTATCTGTGCATCTTGTCTTTATGCGTGTGCCCGAATGTGCAGGTGTGTGCATGTGAATGTGTTCGTTTTCCTGTCTGCTTCTGTGGCAGTGTGTGTCCCTAAGAGTGCTTCCCATGGCTCGTGGAGGTTGCTCTGGGTATGAGGCACGATGTGCTGACAGGCCTCCTGCTTCCCCTCCCCCATTCACACCTGTGCCCACAGGCACAATCTATGACTCCCATCTCCTTAGTTTCCCCGTTAAGTCTTGGGCTACCTCTAGGGGTGGGTGTCTCTCCTCCTCTGGCAGGGTTTAAGCATACCACTTCTCAGGAGTACTTGGAGGAACAATAAAAACATGGAAGTCTGCAGACTCTTAAGGTATACCCAGATGGGAGGGATTGTGACATTCTGTCCCTAGACGGCACAAATGTACAATTTGCAACAAGCTAAACTGGTTCCAGGAGAGCCATCATTAAAGCCATGTGAATGATGGCACACTGCCCTCAATGCTTCCTGTGTGGCCAAACCAGTGACCCACTCTGCACACCCTGTGATCCACAGTGTCTGGAACTATCTTGTTGTCCCTGACATTCCACATTCCCCTGGGACTAGGCTCTGACCTGTATTTTGGAGACAAAGGACCTTGGCTGGAGGGGCCAGGTTACCTGTGCCTGCTATGATATGGCAATGGCAGAGTGGCAGCTTCAGCCCACAGATGCCATGGAGTTTAGGGCCTCACCACTGCCCCGGGCCCTCCAAGGAGCTCAAAGGGACTCACTGGGGGACCCTGTGCAATGCCCACCTTGCCCATCTCAAGGCTGTCTTTATGAGCACCACCTTCATTCCGGGGCCTCTCTTGATCCTACAGGGACCCAGTCCTGTGTGACAATGACCAACAGGACAGGCTTCTTATGCCATGACCGAAGGCACTGCATCCCAGCCCATGGGGTGTGTGATGGCATTCTCACCTGTCCCTATGGTGAGGATGAGGATGAACGCTTGTGCCGTGAGTACACCCTCAGTTCCATGTCCCCCACAGCCCCCTTAATTCTCCACACAGTCCTGCGGAACATTCTTAGGCCGCCTCCATGTCCCCGTGCCTATGGTGACATGGTGCCTTAGCCAAGACCTTCTGCTATACATTGGTGGATCTTTCATTGTCATTTCCACTCCCCAGAATCTGTGGCCACCCTTCAAGGCAGAGTTCACATGATACCTCTTCCTGGAAGCCTTCCCTGACTCCTGCTGGAGGTCAACAGTCCTTCTTTAGGCTCCTAAAGACCCTTACCTCCCTGTGTCTTGGCCCTAGTTACACTGGCATCACCTCTGCTACCCCCATCAGCCTGTGAATGCCTCTGTGGCAGTCTGCTCTGGACTGCTTGATACTGGAGTTCTGGTATTGGGATAAGGATATCCAGAATGACTTGCTGAATCAATGAGCAAGTGAGTGAATGAATTGGAAGGCCCCATACCTTAAACACCTGTTTTTAGGAGAAGAGCCTGGCTGTGCGAATGCACAAGAAAACATGAATGAGTGAGGAGACCCGAGGCAGGCAGAGAGCTATGAGGTTGAGGCAGGGGTTGGGACTTTAAAGAATCATTTAGCCCGAATCCAAGAGTGGTGGTACACACTGTAATCTCATCACTTGGAAGGTGGACACAGAAGGATCAGGAGTTCAAGGTCATCGTTGGCTACACTGCAAGTTTTAGGCCAGCCTGGGCTACATGAAACCCTGTATCAATGGCAACAAAAAGCTCACCTGGTCCACACTCCAGCTCCTGCTCCAAACGCCGCTCCAACAAGCCCAACAGAGACTGCCTAGAGACTGGTCTGGGTTTGTGTGACTTTGGGTCACCCTGTACACTACTATCTGAAGTAGTGGAAGCTACTTTGGAACACAGGGGCCTATTGTAAGGAATCTGGGTTCTACCTGCTACATCCTGATAAGGAGGCTGCCTGGTGGGAAAGAACTTGACCTTGGATTGAAGGTGGGGGGACTAGCAGGGGTGGCAAGAAGGACTTCTGCGGTGATGGTACATGCAATGCTGAGGTGGGAACACACAAGGACTGGGTAGGGAATGAAGGTGCTCTCCAGGCCTCTTGCCACCCAGCAACAGGTACACAGAGCAAGAACACTCCACTCCCTGGACCCGACCTCCCTCCTGGAAGACCTCCTGTGCCCTTTCCAGAACCGATGGGGAGACCTAAGTGCACTGACTGCCAGGTTGAACAGAGTGATCCAGCTGCAGGTGGCCCAGGTACTGAGGTCAGAGGTGAATTTTGTCCTGCCCATTTGTCCGTCTCTAGGAGATGTGCCCCGGAGCCTTCCCAGCTTCCTCCTGGCCTACTGTGGAGACCCAGCCTCTTGGATCTACTCCGACCAGAAATGTGATGGCACCAACAACTGTGGGGACTGCTCAGATGAATTGAGCCCAGGTGGGGGTCTGGGCACAGGTGGGCAGGAACAGGCAGCCAGGCAGTAGCCAGGGGCACAGTCTGAGCAGGATGCTCCGAGTCCCCTGCAGGCTTTCCTTGCACCTGGAAAGAGGTTTCCTACTCCCACTTGAACACCTCTGGGTAGAGGCGCTGGGTAGGAGAAGCTCTCCTGTGAGGGACTTGCCTCCAGGATGGGGACCAGAGCACAGAGGGGGACTGAGCAAAGACACTGCCCTACCCTAGCTTGCTTGCTTTCTTTCTTTTTTTTTTTTTTTTTTTTTTTTTTTTTTTTTTCGGTTTTTTGAGACAGGGTTTCTCTGTGGCTTTGGAGGCTGTCCTGGAACTAGCTCTTGTAGACCAGGCTGGTCTCGAACTCACAGAGATCCGCCTGCCTATGCCTCCCGAGTGATGGAATTAAAGGTGTGCACCACCAACGCCCGGCGCACTGCCCTAGCTTTCTTGATCTGAGCCTTCTGTCCTGGGAACCTCCCAGAAACCCTGTGAGGAGGGCAGGGCAGGACTGGAGGCCACAATTCATATGTGGGCATTCCCAAGGGAGGGGGCAGAACAGTCAGGGCTGGTGTGTAAAGAGGAATGCTGGAGCCGTGAGCACAGGGCAGGGGACAGAAGATGAAACACCCCCAGGGCGTCTGAGGGATGTCTATACCGGAGTCAGAGTGAAGCAGGAAGCTGAGCTTGGTAAATCCGTATTTACAAATTCATTAATGTCCAAACTCTGCCTACTTTTTATGTTTGTTTTGTTTTGTTTTTTGAGACAGGGTTTCTCTGTGGCTTTGGAGCCTGTCCTGGAACTAGCTCTTATAGACCAGGCTGTCCTCGAACTCACAGAGATCTGCCTGCCTCTTCCTCCCGATTAAAGGTGAGCGCCAGCATTGCCCGGCTATCTGCCTAGTTTCTTTTACTCAACAATTGAGCAGATGGAAACCAAGGCTTAGATGGGTAAGCAGGTCACACAGCCAATGAATTATGGAGTTCAATTCTCCCTGCTGCAGGGAAACCAGGGACAAAGTCGCCCTACACTAGATGGCCTAAGGCTACAGGAGCTATGGCTTGTTGCAGAGCTAGAGAGTGCCCTAGTGTATGGAGAGCCCCGGACCAGCCCCTTCTTCTTCCTCTCCAGTGACTGCATGCCCACCTTGTGGCCCTGGATGGTGGAGATGCACTCCAACTGTCTTCAAGTACTGCAGCTGTATCCCGAGGGTGCTGTGCCAGGACCATGTGCAGCACTGCTCTGACTGGTCAGACGAGTACGTCTGTCCTGGACCCTGAGTGAGTCTCCCTCTGCAGCCTGGGAGCTGGCGCCAGGACCTTTCATCTGAGCATCAAACCCTAGACCACAAGGGCAGGAAGGAACCTTTGACATCATCCAGCGGCTTCTCCCCATTGCCTCTAAATAGGAATTACCTTTCCTCTTTTCAAGTGTCTCAGCCTCTACTTAAGCAGCTCCAATGCCAAGGAGCACACTATCATGTTAGACAGCCTCTAGCAGAGATGAGGTGAGTCTGCCTCCATCATTTTAGGCCCATCAATGGGAGCACACAGAGGAAATATGCTCCTTGGCTCCAGGGCAGGCCTGAAGGTTCCAATCTTGTCACCATTTGGAGAGACAGATAAATGTGGAGCTTAAATGCCAAGCAGAGGAGTTTAGCTCCCATGGACAGAAGACAAAGTATGCACATTTACCATCCATTTGGTGCCTAAGGCAGAACTGCTGACTTCAAAGGCTGCTGTAGTGTGTCGCTCAGCTCACCAGCAGTCCCCAACTGATCGCATGGACCACACATGGTGTCCTTCTAGCTCCCCAATCTCCTGAAGGCTTGTGGCTGTAGAATGGGGGGCCTTCAGCCTTGGTCCTGCTTTACCTCACACTCACCTGCGGGTTTATATTTTGATCCTGAAGCCAGAGTGAACCATTTTCCTGCAAATGGTTCTTTGCATCACTGCACCTAGGTGGGCAGGGTTGGGTGTACTCATTAGACAGATGAGGAAACTGAGGCCCAGGATTTGCCCAGGATCAACACTGGGACTGGGACCCAAAGCCAGTCTGTGGAGCCCTGACCTCGGGGCCTTCCCCACTATTAAAGTGACTGGGGGGAGTCTGTGTGCAGGGGTGAATATAAAGAGGTAGCTTGAGGGACCAAAAGAGAGACTTGGAATCTGGCTATGGGGGACTCCTCTTGGAGGACACAGAGACAGCTCACTAGAAATGACTAAATCTGGCTTTCTGCGTTAGTGTCTTGTAAGGTTTGAACTGAAAATGGCATCCGAGGAGCAGGTGAGCTCGTTTGTTCTTTCACTAATTTGTGTATTCATTTCTGAACCAAGCTGGGAGCTGGGAGCTGGGGCCCCAGAGAAGAGGCCCAGCTCCCAGCACATGAGCAGTGTGAGGCCTTGTGGGAAGCCCATGTCACACCATGCAGGGACGAGGGAGACAGCAAGGAATGCTGGGCCCCAGTGATCCTGCTTGGGGGATGGCCAGCCTCAGCTTGACCCTTCAGCTGGGTTTCTCTGCAGAAGGTAGGGGCTGTCTTCAGGAGGAGGGGTACCCATGCTTAGTCCATGGGAGCCATGTGACAGTTCTCAACCATGGACATCCAACAGGCTGGAGCAGCCAAAGCATGAGCATATGTGAAAAACAAAGGACATCACTTCATAATAAGAGTACTAGAGACTCAGAAGAGCAAAAGCAAATCAGTTTATTTGATGACCTTGCAAGGCATCAGCCCAGAATGGCAGGCTCGCCTTGTGAGTGCCAAGAGCATTTACAAACCCTAATGCATGACCCTTCCTCCCTTTTTGTGAATAATCAGGAGGGTACAGTCTCTTGGGCCATCAAGGTCTCATCTGTCCCCCTCTCCTTTACATTTGTCTTTTTCTCAACAAGAACTTTGCATGGGTTCATCTGTTCTATGCCCTGTTTGTTTTTAAGACACATCAGACCCGTGCAGGCAAGCTTGGCTATAGTAGTTTTCTATACTAAACATCTAGTATGGATGGGAGTGTAGCTAAGCAGAGTTTGGGTAGGGGTATGTAGACGAGCAGAGGGCCAGCATTTTCTGTTCAGTTTGCACTGGGCCTCAGTTGGCTCAAGGCATCTTTGAAAATGAATTATCACATTTTCCTTCAAGGTAGGGGGCAGACATAGTAGTGTGCAGAGGGTTGAATCAATACAGGCAGTGTCTCAGTTCATCCTGTAGGCGGTGGGGTGACATCTGGGAGTTTAAGCCAGGAACGTGGACAGTTTTCACAGTATCTAAAACCTGTCTCTTGCCGGACAGTGGTGGCACATGCCTTCATTCACAACACTTAAGAGGCAGAAACAGGCGAATCTCCGAGTTCGAGGCCAGTCTGGTCCAGGACAGCCATGGCTATACAGAGAAACTCTGTCTCAAAAAACCAAAAATAATAAAATAAAATAAAACCTGTCTTGGTGTTTTGAGAGGTATCAAGCAAAGAGTTTTCTGTGCAAGCATGACGGCCTGGGCTTGGATTTTCAGCACTCATATGCAAGGCAGGTGTGGGGTGGCATCTGTGTCTCCAGTGCTCGTGGTGTATGTGTGCAGAGACAGGCAGGTCATGGGGGTTGACTGGCCATCAGTTGACCTGATGAACTCTGGTTCAGTGGGAGACCCTTTCTCAAAAGAGAAGGTGGAGTTACAGTGAGATAACTCAGCAGGAAAAGACACCTGCTGCCAAGTTTGATAACTTGAGTTTGATTCCTAGGACCCACAAGGAGAAAACAGAGACAAACAGGAGCTTGTCCTCTGCTGAAATGTGTGTCCACACAGTCACGCAAAAATAAAATAAATGGAAATATAAATAAGGTGGAGAATGAATGATGATGATACCCAGTGTCAACTTCTAGCCTCCAAATGTGCATGCATGAACACACACACACACACACACACACACACACACACACTCACACACACACACACACACACACACACACACTCACACATGCACACATGTACCACACACAATAAATAAATTGATTAATTAAAACCTATCAGAAAGAGGCAAGGCAGCTTGTTGAACAGTGTGGCATGGAGGACAAAGCAGATCGTGTAGCATGACATTTGTGGAACACTTCACTGTTGTGTGCCATCTCCGGGGATCTGTGCAGGCTGACTAATCAAAGTGGAGGCCCAAGCAGGGCCTTGGAGAGGACCCAGCCCGGTAGGAGGCAGGGAAAGGTGGACAGGTGGGTGCAGGCAGGAGCAGGGCACTGGCACCAGGTGGGGTGGGGCGCCTGGCCGCTGAAGGAGCATGGTAGTCTCAGAGCCTGGAGTGTGCAGAACAGCCGTAGGGGCTGGCTTTGCAGCAGGGTCTTGGCTGCGGGCCAGTTTGTTTTCAGCAGGAAGAATACACTGGATTTCTTCATGTGAAGAGGACTGGGGAATAAGGACCCCAGCCCAGACTACTGAGCAGGCTCACTGAGAGCTACATCTGTAAAGGTTCATGCAGAAGACTGGGTTACCCAGAGTGGATCTGTGGCTCTCGTGAGCCACCACAAGCTCCTGTAAGCCCTTATCAGCCCGTCTCACTTCATCTCCACACTATCACCACTCCCAGGCCTGTGATAGTTGCTCACACTTCCCAGAAGCACAGAGAGATGGAGTTGCTTGCCCCAAATCACACAGCTTTTAAGAGCCAGGAGTTCCAGGTCCATAGGCCCAAGTCCAGAAGCTACTGTAACCCTCCTGAAGCCTTGCTCTCGAAGCCAGCTCTCCCCAGATGGGAAGCTGGAGCCTGGCAGGTGCCACAGGTATGCAGGAGGTGGCTGGCATTTGTTCCTTTCTTGTTTATTGGTCCTCCCCTTCATAAAGGAGAAGGTGCCATAGCCACCACCCAAACAATTCTCTATAAGGTATTCCAAGAAGATAAAGGCCTGGGGCCTGGGCCAAGCTGACCCACCCCTGGCGCCAGGCCGCAGAACAGCCAGAAGAGACAGCTCAGCGGCCAGTGCCAATATTTGCCCTGGCCCCGCCTCTCTGGCTCCAGCCCCAAGATCAAGCTCTGAATACAACAGGTTCTTTTGCTGTGCAAACATGACGGGCTAGCTGAATGGAATTTAAAGTGGCTCCAGCTGGGCCCCAGGGCTTGGGTTGAAAATCTGCTCTGGGTTAACCGCCCACCAGCTCTGTTTGCTGGGGGCTCTCCTTCCATCCTTAAGCTCACAGAAGCACATTGGCTAGAGCCAGCAAGAGGCTCAGGCTGGCTTTTCACAAAAGAGGATACTACCTCCCAGAGAGGACAGGGATTGGTCTAAAGCTGCACTGCCCGGTGGCTGACATGGGGTCCTGAGAGCCACACTAACTCCACAAACTCACTCTGTTCAAGTCTGGCATGAGTCTACACCACACACACGCACACGCACACGCACACGAACATGCACACTGGGGTGGGAGGGTAGGACAGACAATCCTGTCTCAAAAAATTGAACACACATAGTAAAAATAACTAATGATAACATAGCTTCATTAGTTTTTTGTTTGTTTGTTTTTGTTTTTGTTTTTCAAGACAGGGTTTCTCTGTGTAGCTTTGGAGCCTATCCTGGAACTTGCTCTGTAGACCAGGCTGGCCTCACAGAGATCCACCCGTCTCTGTCTCTTGAGTGCTGGGATTAAAGGTGTGTGCCACCACCACCTGGCCTTAGCTTCATTACTTTTACATTTGGGAACTAGCTTGCTTTTCTTCTTCTTCTTCTTCTTCTTCTTCTTCTTCTTCTTCTTCTTCTTCTTCTTCTTCTTCTTCTTCTTCTTTTCTCCTTTTTTTTTTTATTTTTTTTTTGAGACACAGTCTTGCCATGTGGCTCTGAACTCACAATCTTCCTGACTCACCCCCCAAATACAGGGATTACAGGCACGTGCCAGCAATTTAACAGTGGGGCTACTGTTAAATAGGGTGGTACTTACTTGAACACAAGCACTGCAATACCTCAATAATGAATCTGGGGCTGGCTAGATGGCTCGATAAGGTAAAGGTGCTTGCTACCAAGCCTGAAGATCTGAGTTCGATCCCCAGATCTCACAAGGTAGAAGGAAAGAACTGATTCAGACTAATTGTCCTCTGGTCTCCACAGTTTGTGAGCCTGAGCCTGCGTGTGTGCATGCAGTAGTGCTTGCATGTACACACACACACACACACACACACACACACACACACACGTGAATAAGACACCAAAAGAATTATCAGGAGTTTATAATAAAAGTGTATTTCTAACAGTTAAAACAGAAAATGTTTTATGAAGTACTATAAAAATATGTATTATTACACCAAGTATTGTAGATTTCTTTCAAAGCACAAGAAGTGTCCAGGTATGAGTCAAAAAAAGTATTATAACAAAAGTTTTTAATTTTAGTCTTTAAATTTTAATGTACTTAAAATTTTCACTGTAGAGGTCTTTCACTTCCTTAATTAGGTATATTCCTAGGAACCTTTTGTTTCTTTCTCGTCTTACTGATCCAGGAGTGAAGAGAACGAACACTCGAGTTTTGCTCCAGATCTGGGAAGAACAAACTTCTCAATTGTTTTCACCATTGAGAACAGTGCAGTTCCCCTCATGCTGAG